CCTCATAAAATAACTAAAGAAAATTATTTTATATATAGAATCAAAAAAATATATACCCACTAAATGGAGAAAACACATGAAAAACTAAAAATTATCTTTAAATATTTAGAAACATATTTAAATATGCGAATATTTCCCGGCTTTCTCTCTGTAGTGTCAGACAACATCATGTACAAGATAAGGCGAATGAACTGGCTCCTCAACTCCAACAACAAACTCTCGCTCCAAAACAAGGTGCTCAGCTACAAGGCAATCCTTGCCCCTGTGTGGCGCTATGGGCTCCAAGTCTATCGTATTGCTGCAAAAACACAGCTGAACAAAATTCGTATCATTCAGGCCAAAACCTAGCGCAAAATAACTGAAGCCGAATGGTATATCTGCACACGCGACATCGCAAAGGACCTCAGGGTAAAAATGGTGGGCGACGTAATCAACAGGCAAGCAGCGAGCTACTCGACAAAGCTCCACAACCATTCTAACGTTCTGGCAAGGAACCTGCTAAGGAGGCGAAGAAGAAGGCGTCTGAAGAAGACCTACCCAACTGACTTGGTCGATCGTTATATATAGGTCACAAGCTGTATTATCTAAGCTGTTATAAACTAATTGTTGATCCACAATTTTCGCTAAACTAAGTAATTGTGTCACTCTGATAAAAGTTGCTAACATAGAGTAACAGGATACCAGATTTTAAAATGAACAGAATATATATATAAAAAAAAAGTCATTTCATTCAGTGTCCGCAAATGACCCAAATGACTCTTTATTAACTTTTACGTCCCGCCAGTAAAAATTTTCAACTCGGCTCATAAATTCATCTAATTAGAGACAAACATTTGTTTTGCGCAAGTCGTGAACAATTCGAAACCTGAAAAACTCCTCTGAACGTGTTTCGCAGTACAGAATCATAATAATATTATTGCAGTAATTTGGTCAATATCCCTTAAAATGTTACGAGGGATTCATGATAGGACCAAAGAGTAAATAAAAGTTAAAATTTCCCACGTTCTGTTAACTTTCACAATTCGGCTAGCTAGCGAAATGTTAATTTGCGACAAATGCAGCAGAGCTCGACTAACTGGTTAGAGATTTAAACTCTATGTTAAATAATCAGCATGTGTGTATGTGTGGTTGTGTGTGTGTGTGTGTGGGGTTGTGTATTCCCTACACTGAGGTCCATTGTAAAGGGCATGCAATGTCATGCGTTTGAGGCATGAATTTAACAGCCCTTGATAAACTTACCCAGCTTGAATTAAAATCTTAAGTGCATTTCAGGCTGGAGTCCCACGTACGCATTCATGGTGATAAAATATAACAACACAACTCACATGTTATTCATACAATTATAAATAATATATACAAAAATAAATCTGTTTTTGGCAGCGACGGATTCATGTCTTGCTCCTGTTTTGCCTTTCGAAATGGTAAAACTAGCATGCGTTTCCTTTTTCATTTAGTTATTTAGCATTTTCGTAAATAAAACCTTTGATTACATAAAGTTTTGCATGAAACATTTTATTGGATGAAAAAACACAAGCTTTTAAAATGAGAAAGATTTAATACCCCTCTACACATTTGCAGACACCTGGGAATAGTGAAGCTTGTAAATGCTGAGTTTGATAAAAAACAGATTTTGTCAATAGTGCTAATATAATAATATAATCAGCATATTTTTTGCTAATAAATGTCGAATTTCCACAAGATATCTTAATAAACAAACAAGTTTTTTATATAAGAAATGTTCGACCGATTGTTCATATGACAGCTATATGATATAATGGTGAGATGTTTACAAGACTTTTCATATACTTATATATATATATAGAATTCCGATCCGTCGTATATACTGCCCGCAACAGAAAGACGATAGTTTTTCGGGCCTTGAATAATTATTGTGAGCTCGTTCAGTTTTGTAGCTGACCGTTCAGCTTGAGCATGATACAGGTTTTTAATTGCTGTTTTTTTGGGTATATCCAGAAAACTTTATCAGGGTTTTTGCGAACTAATTGAAAATGGAAAAGTTTGCAGTGAAAAGCAGATGCGCTCATGTTATTTTTGCCCAGTCCCGGCTCATTTGGAAGCTGAACAGGGCAAAACAAAGGTGAATTGAAATGGAAAACTTGACGTGAAGAAATCCAAGTTTTTCATTTTGTTGTTGTTTAATTTCAGTAAATTTAAAGAAAACAAAATTAAAAGCGACAACAGCAGCTCCACAATATGCCTCCATTCAAAGCAATGTAAGAAAATGGTAAGCACAGTATGGCTTACCCTTCTAGAGGGTATACTAATTTTGTCATCAAATGTGCATTCACGTGGGCGTGGTCAGCTTCAGCAGCCAGTTGATGCAATCGAGTCCATAAGCTTTAAAGCTGTGCTTATAAAACTAAGATCTGTCGCTTTCTTACAGGCAGTACATAGGTTGGAACAACTTTATCCTGTCATGGGAAAATATATGTCAAAAATAATGTTTTGTATGAACAACTTTTTCCATAAAAATCTCTGCGTTTGTTTTACCAAATCTTATTCAGATTCCACTAAGCCTTTAAATTATATAGGTCTACAAAAAGAATCGGTCAACAAATGAGTTTTTGTATGTTCCAATATTCCATTCTCCAGGATGCTCTCTCCAAAATCGCTTTTCAATACTTACAACAATTCTTTAATCGCATTTATACACATTAATAATAGACGTCTCATAACAAGAACAAATATTTGAGATGTTATATGCCGACAGCAGGTTTTTTTTTCTGTTTAATTATAGTTCACAAAATCCGTCTTGGCTCTCTTCTTTTAAGGCTTAATTAATCGCTTCAGACATAGCCATATGTTGCCAAAATCTTTATTTTCTGCATTTTTAAAACAAGTTCAAATTAAGCTTAATCTCAGATGAAACTTAAATTTAAAATTGAGCGAGGGATACATTTTGTCATCTTTATATTGAGAGTCAGTTGCAAGCCTAATTAAAATTTTTTTTCTAGGCAGTGTGAGATTTATTGTTTTTAAGCACCCATATTTTAATGAAACTCTTGGTATAAAATTGAAAAGAAAAGTGCCAGAGGGCATTTTATAGCTGTATTATGAGTGCAAAGATTATAATCTAATTTCTACGTTCATGCTCATGTATTTCATTTCAAGTAAGACCCAAACGATAGCTTAAGATTAGTGGAGTATGTCGATTTTGGACTGCTCTATTAGAAGCAAAATTTAACAAACTGAAAACAGCTTATAAAACTGCTATCATACTTAAGCTACATAATATAAATTTAAAAGGCACATTACGTGTACTTCAAATCTGTCGCTTATTGAAGCCAGCAATTTGTACTATAATCCCAAGGACTTGCACTTAGGAGCAAAGCCAAAGTATAAAATAATAAAGGTACGAACCGACCTTAATTTAGCAATATTCAGTGAAGATTTTTGTGATATTAAAAGGGTCACATGAGCGAAATCCCATGCTAAGCAGACAAAAAGGCAACGATGGAACAAATGTCTTTGGCTAAAAACACACATTTAGCAGAAGGACCATGTGTGTGCCTGGCTGATTGGCAGGAGCTTAGGACGTTTAGAAGACAATATTGGAGTATGTTTATGAACTTTTTGAAAACTTTCACTTTTTCCACGATTTTATCTTTTTCTCCAACAAATTTAAAGTTCATTCAACAATTTACATAAATACCATTGCCTGGAATCAACCGCTTCCGCACATGTTAGTCTCATCGTGAATAGTTTGAAGCCGAAGATTTAATTTTCTCTTATAAAACCTTTGACCTTTGAACTTTGCGAAAAAGAATCAACTAAATTCTCACAAAGATCTTTTAAAAATGAGTTTGAAACCGATAAACAACAATTTTGTTTATTTTTAGCAAAATTTACATAGTTGGGGATGTAAATTCCAAAATCTTCGAAACACGCACTCATTTAATTTTTATGTAGGGCTTTGAAAAGGGGCAATTTACAAAGATCTTTGAAAATACATTTCAACCCGAAACTTCACCCAGATCTTTGACCCTTTAAAAGTATTAAGAGATATTATCGGATATTCCACGGCCTTGCCCATGGCAACGTTTTTTTACATTTAACTAAATATAACTTTTTCAAACATTTACCGCCCCTGGAAAATTTAAATTTACAGATATTTTTTACATATCTATTTGAAATAAATGTAAAGTCCATTGAAAAGGAAGTAAAAATTACGGGTTGAATTTCTAAAGGCACTCAAACGTATTCATTATGGTAGACTTTTAAGAAATCTTCAGATCCATCGGGACCTTAAGACTTTTAAACTTCCACCTACAAATAAAAATAATTTGACGGAAGATTGAAAACTTGTTGTTTACCATCCGAGCGATTTAAGTGGTACGCGATCACACAGGAAGAAAAAGATCACATCTGCACATCTGTATACTTCTAAAATTGGGGTACTTTACGTAAGTGTAGATACAAATGTTGCACAAGAAGAAAACTCGTTCGGGTAATGTCGGGGCATACCAGTCAGTTGAATATTATTATAAGTGTAAAATATATACTAGTTTTCTTAACAACTATTATTAAAGAAATTTCAAAGCTTGGCAAATGTTATTGGAACAGATTGGAGCTCCACGACAATTCCAAAAAGCTCCACTCTCTGCATATCTGCTTTAGCTCACTTCCGAACACATTATTGAAAATATCCGAGTTTCTTTAAATATATAACATATTATAATAGAAATATAGAAGGAAACAGCACCAAAAGAGCAAACAACGAGAAATACTTAAGAGCTACAAAGATATAGAATATAGCTTTGTATCTGCTCCAACTTATATTAACCTGGTCCATTAAAATGAAGTTAATGAACAAGTGAAATTTGAAAACAGCACCAACTAAATAATTAACAAAACTTACTACAAAACTTTTTGTAGCTTAACTAAAAAGTTATTCTCATAAAATTCATAATATTCCTTTAGAGAAGGATTGACTTAAACATAATTTGGAGTGCAAGAGCACATTTCAAAATTTAACTCACCCTTTTTTGAGATAGAGCAAAAAAAAAACGAGATAAGTTTTCAGATGACTGCTAAAAACTTTGGATAATATTCAAATTGTCACGACTTAATTATTGCAATAACCGCACTGCAAAAGACACGAAATAAGAAATATATGTTGACTGTGAAAAGCACTTGCAAGATTATTTGAAACCTGCAGTTAATAGCGCGATTTCAAATTGCAAATGTTCACCGTCGCCTGGCTTTTGTTCCTGCTGCTCTATGTAAGTCTCAGGATATTTGCGCTTATAACTGCACCGCTTTAGAACCGAAACCTAAGTGAAATCGCCAGCCAAGGCACAAGCAATTTATACGAGCGTTTCGTGCTTTACTGTTCGTATCAAAGTGGACGAGGATTCAAAAGATTTCAACGGAGTTGTCGTACGTGTATATTCTCGTGCTCGTGCTCGTGTGCGTGTGTGCGCGTGAGTGTGTGTGTGTGTGTGTGTGTGCTGCCGTTCGTCTGTTTTGTGTGCCTTTGTGTGTGTGTGGCAGTGCTTGCCATTCGTGTGCCTGTGTATTTGTGCCTGCGTGTGAGTATGTATGTGTGTTCTGTCAGGTAAATGCCGATGGCACGAGCAACAATACGAACGCCCACGACATTGACGAAGCCTGCATGATTGTGCGCAGTCTTTGTTGGGCTGTGTACGTGCGCCCCATTTGTTTGGGAGCGGGCGACCACACGTCGTATGAGCAATGTGCAACACGTGGTGCAGCGTGATGGCGTCGCTGCCAGCGCCGAACGACTGCGGGCCACAACATTGGGCGAAGAGTGCGTTCCTTTATCAGTTTATCAGATAGCAATTACGCACAATTATCGCACATAGTACGCGATGTCACGCGATCTTATCAGCTAGCGATCTAATCAGCAGCAGATTATTTTCAATTAGTTGCATATTTGGCAGCCGTCAACCGAAATCTAATATAAATCCCAGGCACTATGGTTGCTAAATAGGTTTGGCTTATTAATTCTTTGGCAAGCTAATTATCGTCGTTATCTAATTAGCATTGTACAATATGTTTAATATTTGGCATCAAACCATTTCGTACATGTTTATTCATACTTAATCCCTTTAAGAGCGGGGCTATCAATTTCATCTAGTCAGACAATTTTTTTTTGTTATACAACCTTTTACTTATCTGTTGACATTAAACATCTATGAGCACAAGGTAATGGGTTTTATTTTTGTGAAGTTTAGCCAAGTCTACAGTGGGTCAAGCATTGAAAATCGTATCTTAATAGATAATAGCATTGTAGTTGAAGTATTGTGTTGTTTGTTTGTTTCTAACTAAACAAACTCAAGAATGTCGAGATTTCTGTGCTTCTCACATATGGACAATATTTTGGCAATATCGGAATAGCATTTATCGTGTATTTATGTATTTATATAAAGCATAGAAGAAGACATCACTGATGAATAAAATTAGCATCCGCGAGGTATGTTGAAGATACTTTTATCATAAGCTACTTTGTAAATGGTTTCGACATAAAAACGCGCACAAGTATGCAATATAATACTGTAAATTCTTCAGAGCCTTGAAATACGATTTCGATTCGTATCAACTTTGGACCATAACCAAATTATGTAGGGCTGTCTTTAGTATAAATAAATCCGTTTACCGTTTGCAGTTGCATTGAAAAAGTTTAGATAAATTAAATTTAAGTTGACTGTCTCGTGAACTGAGGTTCAGATTGGGCCATAATCAAAAACAGTCTGGTGAAGAGCATAAGAAACGTGAAAGTATTTTAAGGCACATCTTAAAGCAGAAGTTGCGGCTAACAAATTGGAGATGAACCACAAGTGTTAAGTCATCCCTTGTGCTCAGATCAATTACAATGCCCTGTTGGTAAATGCTTGTATCAAAAAGTTTCGTTTGTTCATTATTATTATTTTAATTTAAAATATGTCCGACTTGCAAGTATTTTTTTTTTTTAACCTTTTTTTTTAAATCTGTCACGCGTCGACAAATTTTAAAAGTTGTATCAAATGTTATAATTGTCTTGTAATTTATGTCGATGTTTAATTAGTGGACGGTGGTTGGTGAGTGCTGTGAGGGGGAATAATTGAATTATTTTGTTCCCTTGAAAGATCCAGCGGGTGGTGTTGCTGTTGTCCAGCAGGCCAAGTGATAGGTTGTTGCTGTTGTTGTTGTGCAGGTGGAGCCTATACAGGTATCTGCTGCAGTTGTTGGCTATCTCGTCACTGACCCATGGGATCTTGAGAAGACTGTGGATGGAAGCGTTGTCATGGTTTATATGTGCATTGGAAACGATGGGCAGTGCCTTGTTTTAAAAAACCTGAATTAACCTTAGGTTGCTTCGGCTGGCAGTGCCCCATAACTGAACGCCTTCAGTCGAAATCGGTTTGATAATTGCCTTGTAGACAAGGAGCTTTGACCGAGTACTTACGACTTCCATTATTTTCTGTAAAAGGTGAGCTCTCTAAGTTAAACTCCTGTCGAAAGGCATGCCAAGGTATTTTTGCGTCGTCTCTTCTGGTATTACAGCTCCGCCTAGGTAGACAGGTGGGCAGTTACCAGACCTGGGAGAGAAAGTGGTGGCTGTGTCTTTTTTGTTGTTCACCATGATGACCAGCAAGTATGCTATACACATTCGAAATGCTGGAGCATGTCGATAGATGACTATGCTCTTATATATGACGTAACTGAATTTAGATTTAGAAGATAGAAAGATAGATAGAACGGAGTGATCAAACCGTTTCAGCATTTACCCAGTCGACTAGCAGCAGACTAGTCTAGCGCTATAAGTAAACAGCTCGAGCAAGGATGTAGTCAAGTTTTCCTTGTAGAAAAGAAAGATGGTACACAACAAGATCACATAGGCTACAGGAAAGTTAAGCGACATGATTATGGATTATTTTCCTGTGCCCATCATGGAAGAGATATTGGAGAAGCTGCAGCAGCTTAAATGGTTTACCATAATGAGCCTTGAAAAGCAAAAGCAAATCGTCAATAAAAGAATAGCTTTTCGAGTTTAATAAAGCGCCTTTGGTCCACTCTGATGTTATAAAGCTTTATACGAACAACATTATTATTTAGGCCACGTCGCAGGATATAATAATACGCAGAAACCAAGTTGGTTCTGGAGCCACACATGTAGCCATATTATTGAGGGAGAACCAACCTGGCCTGACAAAGAGAAGACAGCAGTCGTTTTGCTATGACCAAGGACATTAAGGAAGTGACATCTTTACTGGCGCTCGCCGGCTTTTCAGCCTTTCGAGCCTGTAGTTCATGTTTATTTACTTGAAACCCGTCCAAGCAAGTATTCGGAGCTGTGTTGCTGCAGCGGTTTGATGAAAGCTTTCACCCTGTTTATTATTGAAGAATAGCCAAACATTTTTAAAGGTATAGCTGGAAAGTTTAAATAAAAGTCGAACTAGTAAGTTAATGGAAGAAGAAGTACATATCTCAACGGCAGACTCACCCAACTGAAGCAAGCTTCAGTTGTTTAAAGTTTCCATCATGATTTGGTTCAAATAACAGTTTCCTTGGCTTTCCATCCGAATCTCTTTTTATACCCTGAACCCATTCAAAATGGGTATAAGGGAATATTGTATTTGTACAACATCCAAATGTTTGTAACAGGCAGAAGGAAGCATTTCCGACCCCATAAAGTAAATATATTCTTGATCAGCATCAATAGCCGAGTCGATCTAGCCATGTCCGTCTGTCTGTCCGTCCGTCCGTCCGTATGTATGAACGCAAGGATCTCAGAACATATAAGAGCTATAGACTTGAAATTTTAGATGTAAGTGCTCCTAGTGCTTGCGCAGATCGAGTTTGTTCTGATAATCGATAACTTACTCCGTTTCCAAGCAATCGATAAAAATCGAAACCGATATCCTGTTTTTTGGGCAATTTTGGTAAATAATAAGAGCTTGAGACCCAAACTTGACATATAGCTTCTAAAATTGAATATATATATGCATTTGATGTTGGAAGAAGAGGGTTCAGGGTATCCCCTAGTCGGGAGCACCCGACTAGAACCTCTTACTTGTGTTCAATTTACTTATTGTTAATTGTTTAATATTACCGACAAAAATAATTTTGATGATTAGTCGAGGTTCTTTGATTTCATTGTGAAAATATAGAACTACTTTTCATACATTTTCGATGATTAAAATAATAAAATGTATTTTTTTCCACTGAGTACCATTGAGTACAATGATATAGTGTTCGGTGTGCTTGAGAAACAATTTAGCATTTTATTTAAGCACTATCTACGTCCACATAGTATAATATTTTTAGTTAAGAGTTATTTCCTTTGTTTTAATAGGGTTAACATCTGCAAACGAAGATCAATTATAAATCGCTTTTCATGCCCGCTTTCAATCACCTTAGCTGATGATTGGAAAATATAGCTGATTTATGAACCAGCTTTAATCTGAAAATACAAAATGCGTGATGCTATAAAATGTTGATTATAATACTGTTTTTACAATTATAATAATAACTAGGGGGTAACGGCAACGTCGGGCCGTTGTCAAATTTGCAGATTACAACTTTAAGCTACTTAATTTTTTTTTCACCCAGTTAAAGTTCATTGAGTAAGAACCAAAAGTTGAAATCAACGAACCAGTAGCCGTTGTTCGTCTTGGAGAAAATCTTGAGGCCGGAAAACAAACTTTAGTTCATTAAACCTTTGACACGCATTTTCCATCCAAGATTGATGAATTTTTCATAAAGCCTGTCTAATTAATTTTAATAAAGTCCTTGAAAATGAATAAATTTTCTGTTAAATTTCCCCCCACCCATTAATATTAATAAATAAATATTAATAATAATAATAATAATAATAATAATAATAATAATAATAATAATAATAATAATAATAATAATGATAATGATAATGATAATAATAATAATAATAATAATAGTAATAATAATAATAATAATAATAATAATGATAATAATAATAATAATGATAACAACAATAACAATAATCATAACATATTAAGATATTATGTAATACTTGCCGACCGTGAGACCGAATCACAATGTTTTCCATGTTAAATATTTTGTGAATTTTCTTGTACTCAGTACTCAGTCACATTCAGTTTGAGAATAAATGTTTTTTTTTTCTCAGATTGTCTTAAGTTTACTTAAATTTATATGCACACTCACATCAACCTTATGCGAACCGCAATGAATAAATGAGGCAGATTTATTTATACTTTTCAGCTTAACAATGGTGAGCTAATGCGACTTATATATACATATATATTTTAAATATTATACATTT